TTGAAATATTGAAATACAATTATATTAAAATACTATATTTAAGATAAAAGTGTTTGATTTTTCGAGACTGGTCAAAAGTATTTGACTGAACATAAGATGAATATGTTAAAAAGTAATTTATAAGCAATTAAATATATTTCTTTATTAAAATTAATATTCTGATATGTTAAATTAACATGTTTCAATAAATTTATGTTAAAAATTCAACAAAACAGTTTAACAAGGATTTCAGTGGATCATTTCTAATACTAAATGCAAAATGTTTTTACTGATTGAATAACATCATGGGATAGAATATAAGTAGCCGTGTTCATGCGATTTTGCGCCGGATACGGCTCTGGCGAAATGTGCACGTCCTCCAGATCCTGTTTGACCAATTCCCGGTCAACAATGTGCACCGATGGTCCTATTTGGATTTCACACTCGTTTCCTCGTGCTGACAACATTCGCCGGCGAGCACGATCGTCGTCGCGTGCTGTGGTCTCGACGTTCACGTTATTGATCGTGTCCTTCGACAGCACTCGGGTAGGCGATGCACGTCCACCAGACCGATTGTCACTTTTGTATCCAAGAGATGACCAGTCGGCATGTCGTCGTCGCGACATCCGAAATTTTGGCGCCGACAAATCAACCCCGCGAACGGTGACACGAGGAAAACCACGTTTCTCCGAACGTGCGCTCGTCTTGTCGTTCGTTTCCGATAATTTTGAAGAGCAAGCATCCTGAAACTTGGAGGCCACCAGCTCGCGAATGTACAGCCGCTCTTCCATCTCATCATCCAACGGGGGCTCGTCCAAATACCTAAGTGCACATAATATAAATTACATAAATGATATACAATATTTTGTAGTAAATTACATAAACACTAAATGACATAAATTATCAATTAAAATAAAAAATTAATTTTTAAGTATTGTAAATCATAATGGTTTCATTCTGCAATATTAATCGATCGGCAAATTTAAACGAAATACGATTTGTGGACAATATATACGTGTATGTATTTATGTATACGAAAAGAATGATTTTATTGAAGTATCTAAAAATTTTAATAGGTAACTACAGATCAGAAAATAATTTTATTGGACTGTCAAAATAATTATGAAGGAAACTCGAGCATAATGAGTAAAAAGTTTTAAGCATTCTAGCAATTAGTTTGAGTCCTTCATAATTATTTTGATAGTTTAGTCAAATTATTTTCAGATCTGTACTTGTCTAAATTTTTAGATACTTGAGAAAATCATTCTTTCGTATATATATATATATATATATATAAAATTTAAATTTAAATTAACGATTAATTTTTAATATCAATGTTTTCAGATAGTGAAAACGATGTAAATATATTTATAATAAATTGTATGATGTAATGAAAAATCGCAATTGCAGAAGAAGAGACTCGATTGTAACTTCTAAATAAAATGAGATGGAATGTTCTGTAAAAATTAGGTTTTCCTTTCTACTCACGTATTTCTATGCTGTCGTGCGGAATCGAAACTCGACGTTGCGCAGACTTCCATGAGTTGTATCTTTGCATTGTTAACAATCTTCTCGGCATTCTCAAGAGCGGTGGATGTTTCGGGACTCAAGATGGAATTGAAAGGCTGCACTTCTACCGATCGGTGAGTATCAAGCTGTAATAGAAAATTTTATCGTAAAACGCATATAGAATGACTAAACGTTAGATGAATAAAACTGTGAATGTCCATTACAGTTCTTTCGTTAATAACGCGACTCGCACGTTTACAAGACTCTCTGCCGCTTCCACAAGTTGCATTTGTGGCTATCGATTTTTTAGATACGACAGTTACAGGATGTCGATTCGCATTGTGTATTCTGATATCATTATCCTTCCTGCGCGCTACATTCTCCTCGTGTTTGCAATAACACGTACGAACGGAAGTCATCTCCCCTGGAGACGTCGTAGAACAGACTCCGTCGTTGCACGTTTCTGGGGAACTCGAATTTTCCCTGTAATAAGAAAGAAATATTCGTCTGAAATAATATTTTTCTTTACGTCATCATCATCGTCATCATATTATTATTATTATTATTATTATTATTACTAATTCTTAGGAGAAATATGGTAAAATGATAATAGATAAAAAACAATTACCAACGCAACGTCTTCAGAAAAATGTGGATAGGTGTGATAATTACTAAATACGTATAGTTATCGATATTAATTATCGTATTAAATGCAGCAAACTAAAGATAATAAGCTTGATAACTTTACAGAAAATTACTATTTACGCGATTAAAGTTTGTATCGTAGAAGAATGATAAAGTAAAAAACAATTGCCAACGATTACAGGAAAATGTGGACACGTGTGTGATAATTAGTAGATTATCTATCGTATTAATTATTTAAATGTAACAAACCAAAGGTGAGCTTGATAACTTTTGCAGAAAGTTTAATATAAATATTTACGCGATTAAAGTTTGTATCGTAGAAGAGTGATAGAATGAAAAACAATTGTCAACGCAACGTCTTCAGGAAAATATCGACACGTGTGATAATTACTAGGTATCTATCGTATTAATTATTTAAATGTAATAAACCGAAGCAAAGCTTGATAACTTTTGCAGTTATTACGAAAGTTTCCATAAGAGATGTAAATAATTGGAATTTATCACCCAGTTATACGACCACGTGTCGCGTTAGCGAGAGTGTGAAAAAATAATGCGGCTGTTCTTTCTCATGCGACATATAATGGGTCGCATGTAGTACAATGAAACATTAACAACTAAATATCCGCATGTATAGCGACTTAACACTGTTCTCCAGCGTACGCTTTAAAATATGCATCAATTGGCAAGCAACAGTGAGCTCGACGAACGTCCTTGGATTTCGCACGTGTGTGGAGTTCGATCCCAATTATAACAGATAAATAATGATGATAAGCATGATTTAAAAAAAAAAACATTAATCACACATTGCACATGCAACTATGGACGATTACTTTTAACACGACAACAAAGATGAAACGTTAACCTTTTTAAAAAAAAAAATATATATATATATATGTGTGTGTGTATGTACGACACTCTTATATTCAATTATTATTATAATATAAGTAATTATACTATAACATAAATAATATTAATCCTCCGCTCGCAACATAGAATTTTAATTCTTCCATTAGCAATAGGAGTCTTCGAGAAACAATAATTTTTTTTATTGATCCGAATTATATAAAAATCTGAAAAAATTCTGATATACTTATCAAAGCTTTAACAACGAGTTTTTACTATCATAGAAGTCGGATTGTATTTTTTTATTTCTAATAGATAAATATTTATCTACAAAAACTCGATATTAAAGCTTTGAAGTGTAGGATTTTTTTTATGTTTATATAATCGAGAACATTAAAAAGTTATTAAGTAACTGATATATTTCTACTAATATATATGTATCTGAGACTTGAACTTCTATCTATAGTTTCAAAATTACAGGGAGATAATTTTATTCAAATAAATATAAAGGTACAAGATAACATGAGTTAAAGTACAGGCTAAACACGAAAATAACTATTTCCTTAACGATCGGTGTCAATTGAAAATGTTGCAGCTCGGCTAGGGAAAACGAGAGAACGAAAGAACGTTGGCGTTACGTTCGAGCCATAAAAGCGGGTTCAAGGACCGACGATAATAAAGCTTAGAATCTCTCTCTCTCTCTCTCTCTCTCTCTCTCCTTCTCTTTTCCTCCCACCCTCTCTCTCTTTCACTCTGACTCTCTTTCGCTCTCTCTTTGATGCGAGGGTGGTCGCCCTCCCATTCGTTCCAGCTCTTTCCCAACTACAATTGGAAATCAAGCAGTACCCGCACTACGCTCAGCTACGTCGTCGAACCTTCCGCTATCCCGGCCGGGTGCAATCGTCGTTTCTATAGACAACAGTATCGATCCTTAAAGGGGAGGCTTCCAAATTTGCGTGTGAAGTCAACCGCGAGCACTTTCGTCGTCGCTACCCGGCTGTTAGATTACTCGGAAGTCATCTCGCCTGACGTCGATTTGTCTCACGCTTAAAAATTATTCCGACATTGTGAATAGTAAATTTCGCGAAGAATCCATAAAAAGGAAAAAAAAAGGGGGGAGGAGAGGGGGGGGGGTGGTCGAGCGATACTCGACGCAAGGATAATATCCCGGCCGACCCTGCTCGCTCGTAGCGTTTGACCTGTGAATAACACGCCGGCGCTTTTTGCTGCGCGACTAACTCTCGCGTGAAACACGTGCGTTACACACGGATGACCGTTCCGCGCGTCTCATCGACACTCCCTCGACCCCCTATGCGTCATCGCGCGAAATGCGCCCTCCGGGCCTCCCTGCCGCGGCGTCCACGCGCGTCCACGGGGAAAATCGCGCTGGGATTTTTTCAAAGGAAATGTCACGCGGGACGTGCGCCACAACAAAGCAAGATGCGTCTCGGCTGGCGCTCGGCGGGGACACTAATTTAGCAAAAGGCCGATGGATGCGGTCGGACGTCGGATGACGTCAACGATCCTCTCTCCGATATACACACGTTAGACTGCCGAGATGCGAGAAGCCCTCGGCCGCTTTAACGCTTCCCCGCGCGCGTGATCAATAGCAGTACGTCAAAGGTACGTAATGTACGACGTCCTTTAAAGACGATGGACCGACGTGTCGGCCGCGCCGTGTCAACCGAACATTCGCACCTTTCGCGTTTCGGTCACCGACCGTGAGGCGAGAAATTTATTCGCTCAGAAATACGATTTCGATTGAAATCCTTATTGGTCAGAAAAGTCCTGGGGAATAATTTCGAAATGATGAAAAAATATACACATTTGTTGAATTAAATAAGTTATACTTGTAAATTTTTAATTCGTTTTTTTTTTTTAGTACGTTCTCCCCCGAGAATTTCAATTTAATTCAATTCATTCACTTCAGCTTTTCTATTTTTGAAAGCTTGTATGATTGTTTTATTATACATTTTGTTTTATTACGGATTTATCTTCCGATCTTGCGAGCGACGCATTCACAAAGAATTTTCTATGTCTATTTGTGGCCATATAGAAATGGAAAATTCTTTGCTTGCAAGATCTAAAGGTAGAGCTGAAAGTAGTAAGAAAACAAAACGCAAAAGGAAACAGACATATACAATATATTTGTAGAATCAAAAGCTGAAGTGATTGAAATTAAATTGAGATTAAGTACAAATAATGCCTATAAAAACCAATTACTAGGTAAACACGTTGTGTGCGTATAAATTTTTATTAAACAAGCATTGAGAAACAAAATGCTAAATCGAATTCATAATAACAATAATAATTTTATTGAGCGCGTATATAATTTTAGCAAGACGAGAATATTGAGATTAAACGGAAAGATTCGGAGATTTCTCGAGAGAGCGAACTTAAAATCAACCTAATATTTATAAATATAATTTATTTAATCCACAGATGTGTAAATATTTCATCATTTCGAAATTGTTTTCTAAAATATTTCGCGAACGTATAAGAAATTCGAGTCAACTGCCACGACCTCTAAATTCCAATACGTAGTCTGAAAACATTTACTGCACACATTCCGAAGCACGTATATCTAATCTTCAAAGTCATGGCGATTAACGTGCACGCGGAACGCAGCTTGTTCGCAGGGTGGGGTGGCGAGAGGCTTCCGATATCTCGTAATTTTATCTGGCTCACGATCGCAAAGGCGTGATCGTCGCCAACTCGCGTTAGTCACCGCGACTGTAATTTACGCGATGCACTATCGCGCGCGGCTTTCGTCACCCTATTACAGCGAGTTATCGCATAATAACGGTCTTCATGCACACGGTTATGGTCGGGAATGTTGACCCTTAAAGGCGAAAGATAACTCGGACGCGAGAAGAACCGACCGCGTACGTCTGAGAGAAATACCGGTCCTCCATTTTGCGAATTTCGCGTAAAAAAAGAGAAATAAAAAGAGAGAGAGAGAGAGAGAGACAAGCTTTTTTCTTTTTATAAATTAGATGGGCGTAATTTTTTCACATACATCGCGCGTTTCTCGAACAGTTCCTGCATATTTTTTTTTTTTTTTTTTTTAATACTGCATCTAAAATATATTCGAAATCTGTCTGTCATCGTTATTTTTCGCATCACCATTTTGATTTCTCGAGTACGAAGTTTTTCGGAAATATCCATTTTCCTTCCTTTTCATTTTTAATCAACGTCTGCAGAGAGAAAATTAGATTTCCGGTTCCATTGGATCAATCCAATTTCGCGCAGACGATTCAGGAGCCACGTTTCATGTAATTATAGTTCTATCTGAGAAGAATCGATTTTGTTTGCCCGCGCGGTCCATTCGTCGCATATATCACGGGCGGGTTGAATAATTTACTCCTCATCCGCTTTAAGCGCGCGGAGTCATCGCGCAATGCTATATACAACAGCGCGGGGAGATGGTGCCTTCCGAGTCGTCTGGAACGTGCACAGATCAATATTCCGCCACGTTACGTTCCTCGTTCCGCTCTCCTTCCTTCATCCCGCCCAGCTGAATATTGGCATTGATTTTCATGGTTCGGGAGGACTCGTCGCCCTCCCCTCGACTGCGGACCCCGGGCAGAACGTTCGGATTTAAGGTCGCTGTATACATTTTCCGGCATATATGTATCTATACAGGGTGTCCCGTAAAAATACCATAACAACGTTTAAGGAGAAATTTTTGAGATTATTTTGAAACAAAAATTCTAATATCAAAATGTCTGTTACAGTTTTATATATATATATA